TTTTAATCGTAATATATAAAAAACTTAATTTATTTAAATACACCAAATTGTAAATGTGAAAGGAATCCCACGTTAAGAAAATTTTCCACACGGACAATGATTCAACCAAACAATTCTTCCATAAAATATAAAACAATTTTTATTTTTTTTTACTTTTTTCAATCCTGGCAGCCTAACGCACGTTTGGACGCACCAAGTCTCTCTCATCAATTATTGATATATAATAAATTAAGCAGAAAATAAAAATAGTAAAGTATTAATTAATTAATTAATCAATCTGCATATTTTCCTTCGAAAGTCTGGTCACGGAGATATAATGGTTGTTGCATCAGTCCATCTCCAGCATACCATATTCTTCTCTTTCTTTTTGCTATAGACTGCCAAGCATATCTCGTCGCCAAACTATTGAAACAAAGATGGGTGACACCATCCTTCGCCCCGTCGTAGAAGTCACTGTGTCCAAGGTGATTTCTGTTGCTTCTGATCAGCTCAATTTAGCACTGGGATGGAACCAGGACCTGCAAAAGTTTTGTAGTATGATGGAGATGCTCCGAGGTGTGTTGCAAGATGCAGATGCAGATGAAAAGAATGTCAGTGGCCGCCGCTCTGGTCTGAAATGCTGGCTCCAGCAGCTTCGAACAGTTGCAGATGAAGCTGACGATATACTGGAGGAGGTCGTTTATGAAAATATGCGGCGTCAGATGGTAGTTCAGAAATCAAAGTGGAGAAAGGTCAGGTACTTCTTTACTCGATCTGACCCCCGGGCCTTGGTATTTCGCCTGAACATGGCTAATAAAGTTAAGAATTTGAATAAAAGCCTTGCTGATATCAATCGCTTGGCTAATCATTTGGGGCTGCAATTCAAACATGCAATCAAGGGTGCTGGACCCTGGGAAAGACCAGCCCCAGAGACTCACTCTTTTCTTCCATCAAGAGTTTTTGGAAGAGAGGAAGATGTCTCTAAAATTGTTAGCTTATTGGTTGATTCAAGTAATCAGCATGATCTCCCTGTCATAACAATTGTGGGAATGCCAGGCCTTGGCAAAACTACTTTGGCGAGGGCAGTGCTTGAAAATGATAAAATAGGTGAACATTTTGGCAAAAATAAAATGTGGGTTTGTGTGTCTGAAAATTTTAATGTCAAAAGGATTTTAGTGGAGATGTTGAAATCTATTAGCGGAAGTGGTAGTGGTGATAGGGATGTTGGAAGCAATGATAATGTGATGAAGGATATTCAAAACAAGTTGGAGGAGAAAAATTATCTTCTCATACTAGATGATGTCTGGAATGAGAAGAGACTAAAGTGGGAGGAGTTAAGGAATTGTTTGTTAGGCATAAGTAGAAGTAAGGGGAGTAGGGTGCTTGTGACAACCCGACTTGAAAATGTTGCATCACTAATGACAGTTACTGATGAACACATCTGTCATCCTAGGCAATTAAATGAAGATGAGTGCTGGGCTATAATCAAGCAGAGAGCATTTGGAGACAATTCGGTACCTGAGGGGTTAGAGAGAATAGGAAAACAGATTGCTAAAAGTTGTAAAGGTGTTCCACTAGTTGCAAGTATTATAGGGGCTACTTTGCAGAAAAAGAGGGACATAAGGGAGTGGCAAGCAATTACAGAGAATTGTGTTTGGGATTCACTGGAAAAGGAGGAGGGGATCTTGGATATAATAAAATTCAGCTATGATCGCCTGCCCACGCTAGCTTTGAAGCAATGCTTTGCGTTTTGTTCCATTTTTCCTAAGGATTTTGTCATGAAAAGGGACATATTAATTCAACTTTGGATGGCTCAAGGATTTCTTGAATCACCTGAAGAAAGTAATACAGCAGCGGAAGATATTGGTGACAAATATTTCAAATATTTGTTATCATATTCCCTATTTCAAGAGGAATGGAGGGATAATGTAACTGGGAGTGTTGAATCTTGTAGGATGCATGATTTGATTCATGATTTTGCCCAGTTAATTTCAAAATCTGAGACACTGATTGTTGAGGAGTGGCCTAGGAGCAACAATTCTCGTGATGTTAAGCATTTGAATCTAATTGGTAGGAGGGAAATGGTGCCAACAGTTTTAGGAGATGTTGCCAAAAAGTTGCAGACATTGTTTTTCGAGCATGGTTTTTCTAGTGGTGTACAAGTGGATTTTAAAAGGTTACGGGTTCTCAGCCTTAATGCTGCTTTTGATGCAAAACAATTGCCATCATGCTTTGGCAACTCAAAGCGCTTGAGGTATTTGGACATTTCAAGAACTCAAATAGAAGAACTACCCAAGTTCATCACCAAGCTATACAATTTGCAAACATTTAGATTCATGGACTGCTATTCTCTTAAAATGCCTCCAGGAGGAATAGGAGATTTAATCAACTTGAGGCATATTTATTTCAATGATGAAGAGCGTATGCCTGCAAACCTTGGGAGCCTAACCAACCTACAAACATTGCCATTGTTTTTTGTAGGTACAACAGAAGGACGTAAAATTGAAGAATTGGGAAGCTTAAGAGAACTCAAAGGAAGACTAGAGGTCCGTAAGCTTGAGCTTGTTAAAGGCAAATCAGAAGCCAAGAAAGCTAAATTACATGAGAAGGCAGTTGATGTGTTGCAATTATGCTGGAGAAAAGAAGGCAATCGTGATAAATTAGATGAAGATGTCTTGGAAGGCCTCCAGCCTCATTCAAATATAAGAATATTAAGTATTGAAGGCTATGGAGGTAGAAAATTGGCATCATGGATGTTGAAGAACAGTGAAGAATTGTTGTTACTCAACAATTTGGTGGAGCTGAGAATTAGCAATTGCAGGATGCTATATAGAATTCCGAATATCAATGGCTTTTCTTCTCTTCAGCGGCTTTATGTTTCGAATTGTGATCAATTAACTAGTATGGGTGATGATGATGGGCTGGTACTTACATCGATGTCTATCAAAGAATTATCCATAGCTAGGTGTACAATGTTAGAAAGATTTTTGGTTAGTGAATTATCATCTCTGGAGAAACTCACGATTGAGGATTGCTGGGTGATAAATAGCATAGGAGATAGCCTATCAAGCTCCAAGTGTCTCAAACAATTATATTTGCGAAGGTGTCCTGAATTGAAGTTTATTCCAAGTCTAGAAGGGTTTGTCTGTCTGAAAACAATAGCTATTTGGTGTTGTGATGGATTAGAGTGTCTACCAACTGGACTCTCATCTTGCACTGCTTTGGAGGAATTGCAGATAGGGAATTGCTATAATTTGGTCTCAATTCCAGAAGAATTGAAACAGTTACGATCTCTTGTTAAGTTGGATATTCAGGAATGTCAAAAATTGAAGTTTATTTCAAGTTTAGAAGGACTTGTCTCTCTGAAAACAGTAGCTATTTGGTTTTGCCATGGATTAGAGTGTCTACCAAGTGGGTTCTCATCCTGCACTGCTCTGGAGGAATTGCGGATATTGAGTTGCTTTAATTTGATCTCAATTCCAAAAGAATTGAAACAGTTACGGTCTCTTGTTAACTTGGACATTGAGGGATGTCAAAAATTGAAGTTTATTCCAAGTCTAAAAGGACTTGTCTCTTTGAAAACAGTAGCTATTCGGTTTTGTGATGGATTAGAGTATCTACCAAGTGGCCTCTCATCCTGCATTGCTCTAGAGGAATTGCTAATATGGAACTGCTGTAATTTAATCTCTATTCCAGAAGAATTGAAACAGTTACGGTCTCTTGTTAATCTGTACATTTGGAAATGTCAAAAATTGAGGAGCTTCCCAGAGAAGATCTTGGGCTCTCTTGCCAGCTTGAAGAAATTAGAGCTTGGCCTTTTCTCAGAAGAGCTGGAGGAATTCCCAAATTTGAGTTCCACTTTCACTCTGGCCCCCCTTGAAGTGTTGCGTTTGGAAGGATGGGGGGAATCACTAACTCTACCACATCAAATTCAACGCCTCACTGCTCTCAGGGACTTAACCATCAAAAGCTTCAATGGAGTGGAAGAAGCTTTATTGGGAAACCTTTCTTGTCTTAAAACACTTCAAATTAGGGATTGTACTCGGTTAAGGTGTCTATTAGGTGGGCTATCATCTCTTGAGAAACTAGAGATAACAGAGTGCCCCAATCTGGTCTCTTTTCCAGGAGAGTTGAAGGAATTGCGTTCTTTAGAAATTTTAGGTTGTCCAAAATTGGTGGGCTTCCTAGAGAAGAGTCTTGGCTGCTGTATTAGGTTGAAGAGATTAGAGATCGGCCCTTTCTCAGAAGAGCTGGAAGAATTCCCAAGTCTAAGTTCCATCCACACCTCCCTTGAAGTTTTGGCCCTGAGGGGATGGGAAAAACTAACTCACCTCCCACAAATTCAACACCTCACTGCTTTAAAGCGGTTAAATATATACAACTTCAGTGGAATGGAATCTTTGCCAGACTGGCTTAACAACTTGTCCTCCCTTCAACGACTTGAAAATTGGAACTGCCCAAACAAGTTAAAGGAAAGATGCACCAAGGGAAGCGGTCCTGACTGGCACAAGATTTCTCATATTCCATACATCCTAATAGATGGGGAGTTCATCCAATTCCAATCCAAATACTGAAGCAAAGAGGTTTGTGTTTCTTTGTTCTCACAACTGCACTTGTACCAATTCCCAACACCAAAAAGTAAAATCTCTCTCCTCATCCTCCATCAAGTAACTTGATTGATGCTGCTCCCTCCATTGCTATTGGGTGCTGCCAATTAATGTTATCCCATCAAAATTATTTATTCTTTCTCTCAAACCATGCATAAATTTATGTTTTCTGTTTTCTTACTTTTGATTCATTTTCTTATATTTCATGTAGATGGAATGATGATTTCTAGAATTCAGAACTGCACTCCTATAAGCTTCAACGTTGAGGTAATTAATTCATCACTCTTCACTTGATCAAATTAACTTTTCTTATACATTTGAGGAGTGCGAGGGACAAGCAGACTTTATATTTGATTCATTCTTATAT